TTGCCTCAGCGTTAATAGGTTCGTGATCGCGATGATCATCCACATGGCAAGCCAACACACTCCATCCTCTACTTTTTATGTCTGCAATAAAATAAATATTTGGGCGTAACTCGTACCAATATACGTTTTCATTGGTAGAGTTTCTTACTACAAAATTCAGCATCGATCAATGAACGCTTTTTTGTAAACTTATGCCTCAAGTATTTTAGCTTGCTTGTAGTCTGAGATTCGTAGTCGACGTATCACAAATGACAGCTTCACGGCATACTTTTAACACCATGTCTTCGGAATCGCCTCTCTGGAGAAAATTCACCCGTTTCAGGATTCTCCTTTTGGCAGGCGACGGTCGATTTTCGCCAACTGACAACAGCAGATTCACATGTAACTGACATACTTTCATTACAAAAGGATATGAAAGAAATGTCAAGAATATTTTTGTGATTTCTCAGCTTATACGCCATTATTCTACTTCAGATCTGTTTGAAAAAGAAAACCCAGCGTTTAAGACATTTCACTCTTGTTTGGTGTTATTTAACACTGAATTTTACACACTTACACTACTCATGTGCTTTACAAACCGGTGGTGTTGAACCCTTGCAGGGGATTTCTTTTCATAGGGAGAGGGTAAAAAAACTCCAGCAAGGTGTTACACAGTACTTTGCTTACACCTAATTGATGTTACTTAACACTAACTTGATTTAATTTTCTAATTACACTTGGTTGGTGTCGTGTCAACACCAATATGGTCTATAATTAATCACACAACCATCATTCAAGAAATATGTAATATATTTATTTTGTAAGATATAGAGGAAAGCGACTAAAGGGTATTAGTTACCCAACACGGATTGAGAAAAGGCAGCTATGGATAGAGTAGATTGATGCAAACTGAGGTAGATCGGATCTGTAAATTATTGGGCCTTTATTAAATACATTTTTACAATGACTCAGGAGTAGGAAGAAGTATTAGTGAGGAGGAAAGATTTGGAATGTTTACGGTTTTTCAGTTTAAAATAACTTTTACCTTTTGAACACAACTGAACCATTCAACCACACAATAATGAAAGCTATAGATGTAAAGTTTTGAAAAATGTCTGTACCAAGATTTGATTTATAGGGTATAAATAAATTTATAAAGTATTGATTTAATCAATTTAATGTAATCTTTGCAAAGCTTGAATTTAACGTAACGCAATGCAATTCATGTAATGAACTGAAGGTATTAGCTTACAGGCCGCCAGTATCTCTCAGAAGTAGTATTTTGTTTAGGCTTAGAAATATGAACCTCGTTGGGCTCATCTTTTTTTTTCCTAGTTTTATCAGAAGTAATAAAGGGTCGCCGGTTTATGTTTTTCCAGTCCAGAAAAGTGTTAAAATCTTTCGATTCCTGCGCAAATTTTCAAATCTGGTACAAACTGGCGCTACCTTAATAAAGAACTCTATTCATGAAACACTATTGGATTAAAAGTCTGCTCGCAAAATTTCCCTAAGGAACAAGGGGTCAAGATTTTCTTTTAAATTTCGAGACTAATGATCAGTTCCTTGATCTGACGGCTAAAATTTATTCTACATGTAATCAACAAAAAGTTACAATTCGGAATATTAGTTATTAGTTCATAGGTAGCATTCACAAGGCTTCTTTTAAGGAAGTATCATCAAAAGATATTCAAAATAAACCATATTTTCTCCCATCGACCCTTTTCCCTATATCATCGTTGTACAATCACAGAAAACAAAGTGAAAGGCTTTTTAGGGAAGGGTAAGTAAAAAATAGACTATTGAAGAAAATTGCCATTGCTGTGGCAAAGTCACGTTGTGTTATCGTGGATTGTTGTAAGAGCAAACTGTAATAGCTAATCTTAGTCATCATCACTCATCACATACACATCAATGGAGCGCTTCTTGAAAGAGTTAAGATTGGTTAAGATAGTGGTGAGACCTGTCTCAATCTCACCTTGTAGTCTGAGTAATAACTAATGCATTCCTGGATTACTTTCGATAGACAGACTAATTAAAAATATCCTATCACACTAACTACCAGTGGAAGCTCAATGATGACAAACCTATATTTTTATACACCTGACAGAAATGTAGAAAATAACTATTGAGTTAAACGACGAAAGTAATTTGGCGTGTGCCACTGTTTCTCCCAATGATACGCTTTTCATCGAAGAATAATTTTTTCCATAGGAGTTCAACTATTTTTCTGCAAAAGGGCAGTACCAAAACGTCGTTAATGATAAGGGCCTTCGTTACTTTCCTGTTTGCAGCTGGAACAGAAATCAAAGCAGTACTTACCCTAATCATGTTAAAGACCACGGTAGCGAAAAAACGAAAACAAAATAAAATTAGAGCTCCCTTTAACAATACCCACGCGTAAAACGGTTTCGTTTCACGGACGTTAGTGTAATTTAGAAGTGATACTAGCACCATCAAATTATATTCAAAATATTCCACATAATTGAAGAACAACCACCTCAGCTAACAACAATAAAAGGAAGCCAAATAGTAACAAATGGTGACAGGAGAAAGGTTCACGGAGTCTGTGTCGGCGACTTGATGAATTTAGCGGAGTGTTCTCGTCGGCCTCCGTGCTGTTTACTGTGTATTCGCCTGAAACAAATCCCATACTATAAAAGCCAATGTATTTCTGGAAAAGCTGAGAAAAGAAAACAGAAACAGCCACAAATTATGTGTTTGTGCTTTTACTAGAATGTGCCCCAATAAAGGTACAATCACAGGAGCGAACTAAAGTAAGGAACAGGAGTGCACGAACTGATCTGAGTTTTCAAGCGCGACTTCCCGACTAAAACCAACAGAAATAAGTAAAGCCCCTCCAGGGTCAACCGAATAACAGGTGGCCGCCCAGCCCACCGCATCCAGTATCCGCGTGCAGTCTGGAAAGGGGCCGACAAGAGAGCCTCTTGCTGCATGCGACGTTGTGGCCCATATAGTTTGACCGATTAAAGAACACCAGTAGAGATGGGGTGAAACGTTTATGAACTCTGGGTATAGAGTTTTTCTCTCAACTTAAAAGTACAACTTCTGCGTGAAAGATCAGTGAACTGAAAAATTTGCTGAAATAGTGCAAACTTAAAGAAAACGTTACTACTATTAAAACAAGTTTGGGGGAGTAAAAAGACCTTACTTTGCATCAAAAATAGACTTTCTTCCTAACAAAATTATAAAGAAACCCCGGGATCCATAACGATAGTCTTATTCTTCGATCTTAATACACTAAGACGAAATCAGTTGTAAAAGTCCTTGAATTCACCTTGTAATGGCGCCTTCAGTTTGCGATTCAACCTCAAGGACTGAGCTAAGGACGAGACAAAACATTTGAAAGGTAAGGAAAAATCTTTGCGTTCACTTGAGAGTTTGAAACTACGTTTGAGGGCAACAAGTCTGCAGTGTGCGAGTATTCTTCTCTGCAGCTGTTGTTTGGTTTTTATCATGCATAGCGTTTCTCGGCTTATTTTGTCACGTTACCGTTGTATTACTAGCTATATGATTACATCATGTATTTTGAATTTCCCGGATGAACTCATGCTTGGTTCTGTTCTAGGGAATGAATAGTCAGTATGGCCCCTAGCATGTCTTCCTTCTTTATTGACTCGCCTTAGCATAACATGGTGTCAGAAGTGGGATAGAATCTAGCCTCCGCTTATTACACCGAGCACGAGTTCAACCGGGAACTTCAGAATACATGACGTAATCATATAGCGAGTAATGCAACGGTAACTTGACATTTTCATCAGAGCGTAGATGCAGGACGGGACTGAGAAGTCTTACATCGAACATGTCACGCTATTGTACTATTTTTTCTTAGAAAAGAGATCGTAAATGGAGGCATAATATCTGTTATCATAACCACCCGTCCGAGCCTCTCATTTAGTTTGAAAGGGTATTATGTTTATAATGGAAAATATAATGCGATGTTATTCAGGTGTCTGAATGCTTTAGATTGAAGACCCGCGAGACATGATCAGACACGATTGCGATAAGTGAATACTCAGCAGTATAAGATTATTGTAAACACCCAGTTGTTGTCGTTGCAAATACTGAGAGTGGAACATTCATTTCGACTGCTCCTTTTCCGGTGTTCTTAAGAATGTTAGCGATCATGTCTTTGGAAAATCATGCTTAGAGGAATCGTTCCTTCCTTGCTAATTTCCAGTGGGTAATCTCATGAATAAAGATGAACCAACTAAAACGTCTTCCGCCTCACAACCTTGTGTGGCGACTGCATCGAGGAACAGCGTTATATTATGAAAAGAATTATCGCTGGTAGGTAAGGAGGAACAAACATACTCACCGAAACGATCGAGTTAAATCTAGGACTTCCGCCAACAACGTTCTAAAATTACATTACGTCGAACTTTACGAGTTAATTGACCTTTCACTTTCTGAGCCCGCAAATCCGGATAAACTGATCAGCCCGAATAATTCAAAATTCTGAAAAGATTTTCGTCGCTTTCACACGAGCGTAGGACTAGCAAAAAGTCAGAGCATTCCACGAAGAACCAAGCCCCACAGGCATTCGGATTTCGTCTGCCTAAGATTCATCATTGAGCTACACAGATGATGAATTAGTTCATAAGGAAGGTCATATACGACACGCTTCGTAAACACTTGTAAATTCAGCTATCACTATTACTTTTAAAACTGCCTGTGATCTGTTCAACTCGGTTACCGAGTCAAACAGGCGCATTCCTTAAGGTTTCATCATGTTTAAGCTGGCTGACTTTTCCATTTAGTAAGCATTTCCAGCCCATTTGCCGTGATAAGCTGTAGGGATTGCCCACACCTGAACAGCCACATACGTGAACAAAGGGAAGGCTGGTGCGGCGAGATATTTGAAAATAAGTCAGCGAGGTCAGTCGATCAGTTACAGACGCAGGGATTCCACTCTGATGCTAGTAACCTTGTAGTGCATTTACCGGCATAAGCTCCAACGAAAATTGAACACAAAGCTCGTAAAACAAGAGCAAACAAACTAACTGGAAACATCTCACGATTTAACTTTATTTCATAGTGTCTATAGCTTGTGACATCGACACTGTTTAACTACAAAAAAGCTTCTCTTTGTCTTTATTGTTCCTTTCGGCGCGTCCATTGATTTTCTAAAATGAAGGAAACCAAACACTGAGGATGAAATTTCATTTCGAAATCAATCCTGTCAAGATTCTTAGAGCTGATCATTCTAAGTGAATAAACTAGACAATGTTAACTTCGATTTCTTTAAGCATGATTAAATTATACTCTACATTTTTACTCTAGTGATATTTTGAGTATGAAGAAAACTGCAAACATTATGTGGCAATCGCTCCCATTCCTTGTGCAAAATCGATTTTTACGTTAAATCATGTCCAACAAATTTAACTGCTTCGATTTCTACGGAGTGCGGAATTAACAAAGATACAAGTAAGATTAAGATGTCTCCACGAAATGACTGATAAACGTTGATGAGATGTCAACAACGTCGTTGTCATATTTTAGGAAAAAGGATTTCAATTTTTGCAAGAATTAAGTGCTAAAATAAAATACACCTATGTTCTCAGGTTTAATTGTATTTGAAAAATTACGATATTTTTAAAGGCGTCTATGCAATGGCTTTAGCTTCCGGTAAGAAACCCTCCCAGTACTTGATCAACTGCAAAAAGCAAAACAGAAAATAATAATAAATTTATTGATACACGACGTAAGTGTATGTAAATATTAAAGGCTGTATGTATCTAAGGAGACTGTGGTGCTACGTCGGTGGGAGGTATTACTTTATATTATGGTTTTAACAACTGAGTTAATAAATAAATGTAAATTGGCACACAGTAAAGAGTTTCTAAAGCTGACGTTGACCCAACTGCCATGCTTGTCCAATAGGCCATCGTCGCATTGTCGAACAAATTACAGGGTCATATGGCGGAAACTGACAAAGCTCTTAATTTTGAACGAGGGAGAAACATTTAACAACAATTTCATCAACCTATTGCGAAAATGCTTTCCACCCAACCCCCCTTTTTTCTTTTACTTTTTCTGCAAACAAAAAAGCAAGCAAAGAAACAAACCTGTTGTTGGCTTTCCATCATGGCTTCCAAGTATTTGATCATAGATTCCCGGAAGTCCTTCACTCGGTTTTTCTGTTGACAGAACAATTATTTTAAAGGTTGTTTCCGATTGCTTATAAGGAATAATTTTCAAGTAAAAATGTAAAAAATGTAACGAATTGTAATAACAAAAGTACATGAAACAAAAACATTCCGAACAATGCCATTGTACGTTTTATGAAAAAGGTTCTAAGAAAAAGGTTTTAAGAAAAAAGGTTAATAGAGCTTTTCTATAATTTTTCATTTTGTAAACATTGCAACAAAGGAAATAACATTCAACTCCCAACGATTTAAGTTTACACCTGGGAATTGAACTGATTTTTTTAGAGTATCACTTTCCATTTCCAAACTCTTTTTGTTTCTTACCTCAAATCGTGCCATCTCCTTCTGTATCGCCTTAGAAATCTTGCCAAAATCTTCTTCCCCTTTCTCCACTTTTTGTTCCCACTGAGAAAATAAAATACAAAAAAAGAACATACCAAGTTATTATCTAAATAAACAAAAAATACAATTGTAATGAGAGTAACCTGTCAAACTTATCGTTTGGAAACATAACCAACGTATACTTTACGTCAAATGCCACGTATTGTTGTCACTCGTGCTAATGTCCACTAGGAACACAAACTGCGCCCAAAGCAGTTTTTGACAATATTTTGTACCTCTTTCACTTCCTCTTGTGCTTGGGGAAGCTTTTCGTTTTTCGACGCAAGTTCCAACTTGACCAAGGCTTCTCTTTTCTTTGTCAACATCTGCTGTGCATGTTGCCAGTTACTGTAAGATCGGACACGCTCTTGAAAGCTTGCCTATGGAACAAAGAAACCCCTTTCAAATGTAGTTGTATCCATTAAGGAAAAAAAAGGTTTTGTCTTTTCAATTTGAACAAGAAAGTATAATGGCTGGATTCTCATATGCAACTCAATTACAATTAAAGTAATGGGAAAAAAAGTCTGAAAAAGCAAAACGATTAAATTTCTTTTATCAGGAACCCTTGTGGAGTAAGATGTCCACAAGCTACTCAAATGGCTACGAGTCTTTCGTACGTCTTCTTTATTCCCAGCTCTCTTTATCCTAACACGAGTTGTGGTCACCATCAATATACTTCTAGCTTTACAGCTATGTTGATAGCACCCAACTGGTATCTGGGGAAACTTGCTTTCAGCCATGTCAAGCTTGAGTTTTTTCACACACCATTTTCTACAATTTCTTTAATCAAGAACCCTTACGGAGTAAGCTCTACACATGGCTTTTAGTAGGTCTTCTTTATTCCCAGTTCATTTTATTGCTTCCCTTGTATTTGAACCACTTAACACTTTTTTATTAAAACTGTAGACATTGTAACAAAAACAAAGGAACATATTTCAACATGACATCACTTTTACCAACCTTGACTGCTTGAATCAAACCAATATAATCTTTCAGCAGTTCAGCCAAAACATAAAAATCACTGTCCGCCTGAAACAGTAACACTCCACACAATCATGAAGGCAGGAATATTTCTTTCTGAATGTCATATTAAGTAATGCCTAAAATACACCGTGAGAGATAATTTAACTTGACTTGATCTAGAGGAGTTAGTTCATGCCCTTGAAAACGCCACCAAGTTATAATCAGACAACTAAAAGTATCTCTCACAGTACTCACAGTGTTTCCTCAAGATTTATGGCCAGTAATGAGTGTCAGCAAATGTAAGCAAAAAAAACAAGCATTATGCAGGTAAGTTTCCTTTAGAGTTTGTCTGCTCCTCTTAAGGTGACAACCAGTAAAATTTACCACCTGTCGTACCTCTTACTATCACCAAAAATTACTCAGAATTATTGAATTTGAACTGGTAAAAAAAATGCTTCAACATTTTGGAAAATTTAACTGTCGTGCTCAAAATAAGAAAGAACACTGAATGTGATATATGTAATAGTCACTTCAAACATGAAAAACCAATATAAATATGATTTTGCAGGCCAGTAATGAGTTATACATGTACAGTAAGTGCTATCAGACTTACACTGTAACAAGTATTCATAATGTCAACATAACTTCATGTAGTTCAATCAAACTCTCTACCTGCTCCACATGAAGCTGCTCAATCTTCTCTTCAACTTCAGCAAGTTGTGAAAGTGCTCGTGATAATGTAGCATGTTCCTCTGCATTACCTATTAAAACAAAAGAAGTCATTGACACCAAATGATTGGTTTAAAGTCATGCATAGTGTAAATGCATTCTTTAACATAAAATGCAATTCTGTGGAAATCATAGTGAGCTTGCTCTGCAAGAGCCATTGTCACCATAAGTTTCACCAATAAAAATGTCATTTTATCATGCCACAAAAAGGTGGACTGAAAATCTCTGGCAAGTTTAGCTGATCAGTGAATAAAAACTAATGCAATGAAATCACTCTGCTGCAATTTAGCTTTTTATAATAACTATAACAATAATAAAATTAACACTAATAAATCTAATCAGGGTAACCCCTTCATTCATGCTACTGCTATCAATATGGGCTCTAAAATACAACATTTCTAGGTAGTTGATTTGTTAACTAAAAGTTACAAAAAAATGCTTGTTCAGTTTTTGTCAACCTCTTCACACAATGAACAATGAAAAAAAGTCTGAAATGCTTCATCTACACAAAGGTATGCACCTGTGCATTTAATATTTTCCAGCTTGAGGCAGAGTACCACTGAAAAGTACGCTGACAGCTTACTTTATCCATAAGCTGACAGTCTCAAATTGAAACTATTTAGGATGGAGATGCTTACAGAACTATTTAAGGATCTCAACCCATAGTTTCAAGGAAACAATTTAATTCTCACATGCATGACAATGGCAATGGACTAAGTACTTGATGTGCTGCCTCTCTTTTGTCAGACACAGAGGCCACTCAAAGCTTCTACTTCTAGGAGGAATGTATTTTTCTACAGTGTGCATCAAGATAACAGCAGTTAAATGAAGTATAATGATCAAAAGTAAAGTTCACTTACTTAGCATAGCAGTAGACTTAGCAAAACCTGCAGTACAAGAGCCCAATTCTGTTGACAAAAATGTTACTAAACATAAGATACAGCACTTCAATTTACAAGCTCTGTGCTTCTTAAGTAAAGCTGTAAAGAGCTTAACCTTTTAACTCCCATTCATGAGTGACCAAGAAAGAATTTCCCCCAAGTACAATATCAATACAAGAGATATGAATAAAGAAAAATTTCAATTTGGGGATAATTAGTTGATCCAGTACTAAGTTCCCTGGACTAATATTATAAGAATTGTATGTTGACAGTAAGGAGAGTTAAAAAGTTGATCTGGGAGTTAAAGGGTTAAAACCAGAAATTCTGGTGGAAAATTGAAGGAGATAAACAAAAGGGATACATTCTCCTCCCAAATCTGTGCAACAAAAATAAGACATTCCAATAAACATTAAACTAATAGAATCAACCATTTTTTTTTTCATTTTACCATTAAAAAACCAACCTTTGCGCTGTAATGCTAGTGTTTCCATACTCAGATGAAGTTTCTTTAACTGCTGGTCAAGAGTTTCAATCTGTTGTTGCTTCTCCTCAAACCACTGTTGAAGAAGTTTGACACATTCAATCGCAGAGGAAGGTTGCATTGGAGCCATGTACAAGGACAAGTACACACACAGATGCTGCCAATGACCTTGAATATTGTGCATTTATTGACCAAGTGTGAGGGCTCGACAGGAAAAAAAATTTGGCTTAAGGTCACCCAGCCCAGCAAGGTCTAAGCATCATAACTGTATGCCAGGTGAAGAAAAATTAAAAATAAAAACTGTAGATTTAAAGGAATTTAGCTTCAACCAGCCCTGCTCATGCTATAATGCACAACTCTTATAGAGGTATTTTTCTCTACAATGTTTATCAATGAAAGCAGGTGCAGTGCCCTCTGTGTTATAATATGACTACAATTGCGTGATATAACTTTCATTAGCATCACCTGGTCTGATTCAGACATCTTAGTAGTAAGTTGAAACATTGTATCTCCAACTGACTTCACAAATCGTTTCAGACCACCTCCACTGAGTGCTGCAGTGTCTTTGGCTCTGGGCAACTTTGTAGAAAGAGGAACAATTTTCATCAGTGCCACTCAACAAAAGTCTAGTTGAGGTGAAGTCATTAACACATAAAAACTCAAGGAGCATACAGGGTACATCCACAAAGCACTTAAAAGAATTGCCAGGCTTAAAGAACTATTCAAGAATAGGACATTATACATACCACATCAGCTTCCAAAAATTGTCGGAAATCTGGATCTTCACGTAAGGTTGGATGTCGAGCAACTCTGTTAAGATACCTGGAGAGGAAACATCAATGGATAGTAAAATTAAGTGAAAGATAAAATGCAAATTATTTTAGTCACAAAAGCTTAAAACAAAGAATTGCTTCCACATTAACCCTTAGAACCCTAAAAGTTGTTAGCCTCTATCTTCTCCTTACAATATCACCCCTGAATCACATATTTAGACCAAGAGAAATGAAATGCTCATCAACTTAAGAGGCTCTTGATTTTTAGACAAAGTATCTTTATCAGCACCTTAGGAAATCTACAGAGAACAGTATAGAGAATCTGCATACTGATGTTAGGGTCTACAAGATAAATTCAAAGTAGTCACAGCTGGATAGAATACAACAGTTGATACAAGTAGTTTGAATAATGAATACCACAACTGAAAAAGGAAAATTAACACTAAAATAGAAAGAAAATGAAAGAAAAGTATATAAATGGGTAAATGAGACATGCAGCTCATGCGTTAACAGCAGCAGTTTAACAAAGTCAGATTGCAACTTTTAGATCTGTATCACAGGCAATTTTCACAAGTAATTTACCTCTCTAAGGCAGCTCTCCTCTTGGAAATAAAGTCAACTGGGGTGCTTTCCTCTCCTTTTCCAAGCTTGACCCTGGTCATGCCTGAAAATAAAATAAATAAATACATCTTAAACTTGTACTGAATCTATAACATAAGACTATTTTCTCTTGACCATTGATAAACCATGAAGTTTGTGTAGAAATTAATGGCAAACAGGCAATTTTTTCACAAAGTTTCAGTGATTACTCACCAACAACAGACTTCTCAGGAGCTGGGGGCACAATCTTTCCAAGGTGAAGAAATTTGCTATTTAATCGATCATGGAGTCCTAGAAAATCACTAAATCGACGCTTCACAGATGTCTCTGAATTCTTGAATGTTGGCATACTTGTCTATGGTAAAGTAAGGTCATAAGTTTAAATTTCAAATTTGCATTCATCAAAAATCAAAGCTGCCGTTGGATTTTTTCTATAGCTGTTATCTACCTTGAAATGGTCTCTCTCTAAAGGCAGTAAAATAAGTGTGACAAGAGTGATAAACACATTCATGTACAATATCTTAAGAAAATAAGCGAATGTCAGCTACGGTTAGTTACTCTTAAAAAGAAGACCAAACTCTTAACACGTTTTCAAAGAAATGAAAGGCAACTTCAGGGTTGTTGTTAAGTGCAGACTGCTGGCAAAATTTGTAGGATGAAAAATCTGGCAGGATTTTTGCCCAGTCCAGCCATCACTTACTAATGCACAAAGGCACTCCAAGGTTACACACTTATAATTGTTCAATGTCTAACACAAAATTTAAGCCTACACCCTAATTTCTAACCTACAACCCTGCAACAAGGTAAAGAATCTCTGATCAGACCTTTGGAAGTAATGAGTGAACAGATCTATATAAATGAAAAAACACAACAGTGCACGTCAAACAGCAAAAAGGTCATATAATTTTTAACTTACCATTGTTGTCACTTTGAAAACCATATAAGAACCCATGCCATCACCTGCAAAAGTAACATTAAATAGAGGTGTGATATGCTTGCCCCTTTACCTCCCATGAGTTACCAGTCCAGTTATGAGGATAAATAAATATAGAAATTAAGGGATTATTAGTTGATAAAAATGGTTTGGTAGCCAGTAAGGAGAATTACTAATGAGATGTTGCAAGTTAAAAGGTTAAATTGATGAAAAAAAACTTTTAGAAATATCAACCTGTAGATCTTCAATGGCAGACCTCATTATCACAAGAGGAGTTCTTTCAAAAAGTTAAGGACAACAGTGTACAAACAGGTAGCTCCTCTTGAAATAAGTCCTTTTCTTTCATATGCCTCTCCTCAAAAGTGGCCATTGAAATAAAGCCAGCTGACTCTAGTTTACTTTTCAGCACATTGTACTGTGGTTTTTCAAACTTTTTTTAACAGGAAGAAAAAAGAATTTAGGGTCACATTTGCATGGGATTTGCACTTAATGTACTCAATAACGACTGAATTGCTGCAGTTCAAAATTCTTGAGTAAAAAGTGAAGAACATATTTAACAAACCAGAGCTGCTGATAGTGCTGACTAAAAAACTCCAAACAAAAGAAATGTTGAGAAAACACACCGATCTTTTCAGGATCTGTCACTTTAATATTCATGTCAAAGGTGTCATCCTCCTCGTCTTCTTCAACTTCCTTTTCCTGCAAGGAAAATCAGCATCTCTTGAAGGAAAAATCGTAAATGTTTTCCACTTAAGGTAGAATAAACATCTAATTATTATAGGGTAAACCAGCAACAACTCATTAACAACTTATCCATAAATATTTACGGATTTATAATAAAATAATACAAAGACACACTTTTGTTTTAAATTCAGTCCTAGACTTTGAGATGATATAATACGTGAATCGATCAATTAACCGAAAGTAAACTGAGTTGGGTCTGGCTGATCTGCCAATTAGACAATTAAAAATGGGAGGGATTGAGAGTAATCATTCTGAAAATAGATTCAGATAGAGCCAAATAATATAAGATCTTCGGTATCTACAACCTCAGGTTTTTCTGTCGGAGCTGGTTCGCTGTCATCCTCGCTCGGTTTCGAGAGGTTGGTGACATCCACGGAAGCCGCCGCAGAAGTTTCGGACTTTTCTTCGCTCCCGCCTGCAGCAAGATCGGACGAACCCTTGTCACTCTCCTCAGGAACAGTGTCTGCCTTGGCTTCCTCGTCATCTAGAGTAATTTCCGTGGTCTCTCCAATAAAGGGATTACCGTTAACTTGCTCGTCCGGGTTGGTCTCTGGCGTCTCAGCTTCATCTTCGAAAAGGGCAGGAGGTTCACGATCATCCGCCATTTTAATTTTCTAGGCAGTCACGTGGGGATTGCCTCGACTTAGGGGAGAGGTGTGTCTAAGGTTGTTCAAGGTGTGCTTTGTAATTTCACTTTTTTCTTTTTTCTCTCGTTTTTTTTTCCCTTCATTTGCCTTCCATTCTGTCCATTGTATTCTGTTTAACTGAATTCATTCCTCTTATCTGATGCATTCACTATTGATATTTATTTGCCAGTTTGGATAGAATTTTTAAAACAGAATTGACAGCTTCTCTGTTGGTCACGCATCGCCTTTCACCTTCAGTGGCTCGCTCGACATTTAAAATTTACAGAGGAACTGGTCTTTCATCTTACCCGTCAATATGTCAAGGTTTTTTTAATCAAGATTTCAATTTAAAAAAAAAATTTCGTCGACAATGATCTACATGTCCTAAAATGACATAACCGTTATATGAAATCCGACGACTGATTCAAACTACAGGAACTTGAACTTTTCTGATCAAACAATCGCGTAGATGAATGGAGAACTTTCAAGCTTACCTTCCAGCCGGTGTTTGTTATTTCATTTCCAAATCTGCCCTCTCCCAGAAAGTGAAATTATCTCACACAGTCATGTACGATCACTATTCATTTATAAACGGACTGATTAAAAAAAACAGTAACTACTTAACACTAATTAATATACTGTTCGATAATAACGTATTTTTCAAGATCAAATATATTGAAAGCGAGCATTTACCGACAAGGTGAATAATTCGTTTAACAATAACACAGAGGGTGAAACATGTTTCTCTTATTTCATTTTTTTGAATTTCGAAGTTAATTGCAGTTACTTCATATTCGTTTATTCGGTTAGGCTAAACCCTAGAATTCTTCTAAAATATCTGGTTTCCTCGGGTCAGTCAGCCAGGTGTTCGCTACCAGATAATTTTTTTACGAACCCAAACCTTTCTGATGTGATATACCCCATAATCAAGAGAAAGGTAATATTCTAAAATATCAGGACAGAGAATCCATCCCATAATTTCCTTTGCTGTAATATATGGGCAAAAACGATTTCTCGTCAAAATAAAGTCCATATTATTTGTAATTTTGTTTATCACACCGTGCCAGCAGCTTCATTTTTGTTTCTTTGTTTGTTTCTTTCCAAAAACACTTTGGGTAGTTTAGTAAACACTACATTTTAGGGGCAGGGGGACCACATCAATTTATTTTCTCGAACTTCGGCCGTAAAAACTCTGGGGTATTCCTCAGAACTATTGAAACCTTCTACATGGATACGATCTGCAATGGTATCTTGATATAAGCAAAGGCTGTAGTCACTCAGGTGGTAAACAATATCTCCAGACTGACAATGTAAGAACATTTTAATCTGATGGGGAGGGAGTGTTGACTCAGCAGACCACAGGTATTTATTGCGGTCAGAAGCACTATAATGAATTATACACAGTTTACATGAAATAATATATTTTTTTTATTTTAAAAAATCATGATGCCTTTAATATATGCTTTGTATAAATTTGAAAGATAATATAAATGGTCCATATCGAATTTCTATACATCATTTATACTCTAACTTGCTTTCCACCCAGAACTCGTCTATGAATAGCATCGAATATCTTCAATAAATCATAGTAAGTCAAAACAATTATTTCAGTCGACAGGTGCAACACATAAACTCTTTTATATTGGCGGAAAGTCAGTGGAAGTAAAAACTAAAAGATCTATTCTTTGGTCATTAAAAAAAATTGTGGATGAATATTAAGGACAATTGAAGAGACCTTATTGATACCCCATGGTAATCAAAATAACGAGTCGGAAAGATTATCATAATCGACAGAGCTTTCCAATTCGCTCTGGTTTGAATCCTCAAAACGAGACCGCAGTCTAATGGTCGCATTGTTTATTACGTCTTGTCGAATTTTCCAATACGGTGGACACGAGCTGCCGTAGATTTCCACTTGAGTATGTCCTTCGGGAATAACAAGACCCAAAGCGAAGTATTCATCCAGAAAGCTTACATGCTCGAGATAATATCGAAATAGCACTTGCGCCGTTTCCGCGTGCGAAATGACAAAGAAAAAAAGCTTAACAATTGTGTCATCGTCTTCATTTACCATTACCGGCTTAAAATATTGCCCTCCTGTCAGAAGGAAAGGTCCCATTTGAGTGATCTCTCTTCCAAATGCGTTTATTCTTGCAGCTTCAAAGAATTTGTCTCCAAGAACATTTCTCAGTTGCATAATTTCCTTGACAACTCTTTCCGCGTCGTGTTGTTTAGGATCTATTGTCATACGACTCATTTCAATTGTAGCTGCATCTAAAACGCTGATAACTTTTAATCGGTAGTTTTCAAGTTCTGTTCTGGATGTACATTGGCGAATTTTCTGTCTCAAACCTTGAGCATGCTCAAGTTTTAGTAAAAGGGTTTCCAGTTTCGAATCGGTGTCGACGTCAATTTCCCGGCCACGATCTGTTGACGTGGCATGATCATCCTGTATATAGCCTTTTGGTCTCGAACTTTCGTTCAGTAATGGAGTGATATCGAGATCTAGATCTTCATCTGCGGACCACTGGTGACATTCTTTGGTAGGAAAGCAACCCATCTCTTCATTTGTAGACCTGTGATTTTCAGTTTTCAGAAGTAGAAAGCACCTTATCAAAACTCATTGTCACGTTTGGTTCTATGACGTTGTAACAAACACAAGGAAGCTTGATGTGACCTGAAGCGTAAAATTAATGTGGGAAAGAAAATGCAAATATGCGCCTGAACAACTGAAACGAAAATACAATAGCGCAAAATCCCAAGAGCTTTCATTTTCTATTGAAACAGTTTAATCGTTGATGTAAATAAACAGCAAAAGAGTAACTGCATATCACCCGTGCGTAAGAGCTAGATCAGTAATGATGTGTTAAAAAGTCAAAACTTTTGCGAATGCAATACACTATAAGTATTTACTCAATAGAACTCACGGTAAAGCTTTAAGAACTTTATCTACGAGTTATGAAAAGCTTTATTTACAGAGTGGAGCACCGGAACAATGTGAAAGAGTCTAGATGCTGCATACATAACAATCTTTAATATTATGTGGGAAAAGTGACGTTTCAAATCATTTGGGCAACAAACGCGGTTCTTCCACACCAAAGCAACTTTGACGTCAACTGATGTGAATAACGCGAACGTTTGTCTTTTAAAAATGTCTTGCTTTTCAGGCTATATCGGTTTAATTAATTTTGCTTGTTACGTCACGAAACAAGCTTAAAAATTCCGAAGCGAATGTTTTGAATGATTTGCTTTCGACCATCACAAGTTTCGTTAAAATTAAAACTTTTAACACAAAAATATTGTAAATATAGTTAACTAAAACTTATCAAGTCCCAAAATTTCGAGATTGATTGTCTAGTTTGTGAGTAGGAAAGTAAGTGCGTTTGACCATTCGCTTGCAAAAATTACAGGGGGGGGGGGGGGGAGGAGAAGTGCGGATAGAGCCCTACTCACGAGTTAGCACTGGCAATGTTAAAAAAAAAAAGTAAAAAACAATAATGAAAACAAGTTAGAAATAAGTTAAAGGAATGAAAAAGCCAAATTCAACTCCTGCGAAGATTTCTCACTCTTACTAGTATTCACAATTGCAGGCGTCTGGTGCTCTTGCAAGATTGAGATTGAAATCTTTCACTGAATTCTGAAGATCCTTGCGAAAGAATGGAATGGAGACTTTTCCTGTTTTTGGCACAGAGAAGATGGATTTGAACGCGTAAAAACAACTTCCACATCGAATTTGGACCAGAACTGACGAAGATAAGAGGACTCGTGTGACGGTTTCACTGAGGCTCTAAGCTACTGTTCACAAAAATTAGCCTGGAAGCTTATTTTCCATACAGTAACTTAAATTAACATATCAGTATAATTTTACTAAAGGTAATGGTTGCTATATTAGAGGAAAGGTTTGAGCAGGTACCAGAGAACATGAATTGACGGAATAGAAAGGCTATTAACTTTTTTTTCTTAATGGCACGCACTGATTCCGACAAACAGATTATGATTTGCCTGCAAATCTGCCTCGCTCTCAACGTGTGGTTTCGTAACTCAGTTGGTAGTGGAGCCCAACTAGTATCTGTGAGATTCGAATCCCGTCCAAGCCTGAATTTTTTCAGACACCTTTTCTGCAATGCTTAAATTGCAGTTCAACTGAGAGAATATTTTTCTTTACTAAACACTAAACTCTTGGTACAATTATTGTTCTGAGCCGTAGGGGTTCTTTTTTTTGTTTCGTTTTGTGTTTCCTCTTGAGTTCGTTTTGCTTTGTTTATGTATTTCGCCTTTCTTCCGCCAAACTCACAGTAACGAATGATGAACTCAATGAACCTTATCATAAATATTTACACGAATCGTATTGCACTGCTTGATATCATTTCAAGTTACACTCTAGTTCTTCAAACCAAATTCAAAACTGCAGTTCGGGATGAAAAATCATTACTGCCGAGAAAGGGATAAATATGCTATGTGTAATAAGGCGGGCTGAAAGTACGAAAATGTGAATTATTCCTTCCGTTGTAACATTTTTGTTTTTCCGTTTAAGATTTTCATCTTGAATTGCGGAATGTGGTTATAAGAATTGAGTACATGTATTGATAAATATTTTCCTTCAAACGGGAGGAGTACAGGTCGATGACTTAAAGTGTTATGTACGTTTTCGCCTTAAGCATCAAAATCATTAAGGTATTAGGGATGAAAATATTCAACATCAAACTAAATCAATATACTTTAATGCTGGAAAAGATATGATGCGGGAACAAATTTAAAAATATAATCAGATTAGCTACCTCGGGATTTTTCCATAGTCTTGGAGCATCACATACTCAATTTTTTTTTCTGAGCGAATGAAGTTTACTCCAAAGTAATCAAAGTCATGTCAAAAATGAACGCAGCACTCGTATTTGTCTAATTTGGGTGATAATATCAGCATCTAATGAGCTAAGTAAAGTATTGAATACTTTGCGAATTCTGAAAGGTATTTGGAATTGTCAACTATAAGGAAATTGTTCAAATAACATGCATTTGAGGGAACGAAGTTTACTCCAAAGTAATGATGTCAAAAATGAACGCAACACTA